AATCATGGTGCAACCCACAATATCCTCCTCAACATATCCATAAGCCAAACTTTATAATGCAAAGCTAATGAAGAGCATTTCTGCATCAATCCAAAAGTTAAGCATAACGAAGCTATGCTCAACAAGTGATTATCAAACGATCCTCCATGAATCCATCTATAGCAAGACGTAACTCACTTCATAGCAAGCATAAGAAGAATCATCAATGATTGATATATCCCAACTAAAATCCAATAAGGACTCAAATAGTTTAATATCGAACACTAATTCGTCCTCTCATGAAGTTAGCATAGTTCACGACTAAATCACTTTTCAAGGAAAAGCTAAAGCTCAACCCCTACTAAACAATCTCGTCTAGAACACAACTAACTCAACTTGCCACTCAGTGCATTTGAACGTCAATACAGTTGCTAACTAGCAAATGCACCAATGCTAATAACACAAGCCATAACCAAATCATCAACACTTTTCATCAAGACTAATGAAACTCAATATCAATCCTAAGGAGAGACATCTTATTTCACTTTGAATCTCAACCTCAATAATGTCAACAACAAGGCATCACTTCAATGCTATCAACAACAGAACAAAACTAGCAGAAAGCAAGAGTGAATCACCACTCAAAACTCTCTAGCAACCAAGCTAACCAAAGTCGGAGATACTTTACTCAGTATCCAAGACCAATTTCTCAACAATACTCAGTCACGGATAACACTTTCTCAAGGAGTGAATCACCACGTCCAAGACTCAATGAAATCCAACACCACGAACTAAACGCAACCAAATGATATTAACAAAGATAGACTCGACATGCCAACATGGAAAACCTATGTAAGTCTAACGACACGATCCTCCGCAACACCATCCAGTAAAGCAAGCCCATCACTGCTAAATCATCATCGAGCGAAGCAAGTATCAACAGTCTTTAGACAAAGTCTACAAGTAATCACTAGTTGCAAAGCAACTAATAATCACTCCTCAACTTGCTTTCACAAGACCCAAATACCAACTCTTGTCATCAAGTTATATACTTGTCCAATATGAACGTGATACCCTAGGTATGAGATAAAAGTTCATAGACAAGCACAAACTAAATGATCACTCAAATGGTTGGTGGACGGGATAGGCTCGCCAGCACGCACTAGTGCAATAGCTTTAGGCATGCTGAGAGGAGGCTGCTTACGCATGTCCAGCACTCGGTCAAAACGCACGGCACGTCCACGAGAGGGACTCATGTCCGAACACGTCGCTCGTGGTAGACAAAGGCGGTAGTACTGGGTACCGCCATCTCAACCTCGAGCAAGTGAGTCGGTCAGCGCCCTCCCCA